CCCACAGAGCTTGGCCAGCACTTCCTCACCCTCCCCTCCAGCCACCAGGACGTTCTTCCTGTACTGCTTCACACACACTCTGCACTTCCATGCTTCTTTGCACCACACTTCGTTCCTCATTATCACCACCTCCCAAGTGGCTAGAATTACAGGTGTGAGCCACTGCGCCCAGCTAAGAGTTTATGATTTTTTTCCGTCAGTACTGGGGGTTGACGAAACCACTTGTGTCACAGCCCATTAGTGGTTTTTTGAGTTCCCTTTGCCTTTTCAAGGTGGTGGAGATTTTCTTACGGTGTCTTTCTAGATGTTGCACGGTTTTAATTTTTTACAGTAAGGTCTATAGTCCTTTCTGAATTAGTTTTGTGTATGTTTGAATAACGGACTTTATTTCTCCTTATATATTTAAATGTCCCAACACCACTTGACAAGGGATATCCTGTCCCTGTGGCAGGAGGGTTTCTCTCCCGTTTATGTGTGGATTTCTCGGGGGTATTGGTTGCATTGGCCCGGACCACTTTCTCCTCCTCCTTCATTTCTTTCTCAAAGCATTTTTATTAGCGTACATTAATCATACAGGGGGCATTCCTTGTGACATTTCTGAATATGCCTCCACTGTACATTGCTTAGGCTAGCTCCCACCATCTCTCTCCCTCATTCCCCCCCAAGAAGATTGAGAAAGGTTCCATTGTTCTAGTTCATAAGTATAAAAAGCACATTGACCATATTCACCCTCACTTATCCCCTCCATTCACCTTCAGCCCTCCCACACTACCCCAGCCCCAGGACCTACATTACATTCTTGTCTTTCATTTTTAATTCCAGAGTCATTGTTCAAAGGGGTCTTGATGTATCTCAGCTGTGAACATACTGTCCTTTGGTCAGTTCAACCCCCTCTCTTACTCTCCCCTGCTCTCTCCTTCCCACCCCCGTTATTCAGCAGTTTTCAGTAAATTTCCCTATGTCGTCTGCTGCACAACTGCAATGTATTGTGATACTGTTGACTCACCATTTTCTTTTCCTTTCTCTCCTCCCCCAAGCTCCACAGAGTAGTTCCATTATTGCAAATACAAATGTGTATGTGATCTGTTTGCTTTGTGTATATGTTTATCTTTTGGATCTATCTCTGGACATCATTCTTAAACCAACACCAACTCTGCATTGCTGGGGCTTTATAGTAAGTCCATCAAAGTGTCGCCACCACCGCTGAACCCGCCCCCTCCCCGAGAACCTCTGCGGCCCCCCCATACAAACTGCGAGAGGCAGAAGTCTCCATTTCGGACACTGAGAACCTGCAGCCTGGCCTACCTGAGCCCAGACGGCACCACTGTACAGCTAGACATGCTCTGTGTCCAGGGCCCTGGGGATGCCTGCCAGGTGAGCTTGCTGGGCATCGCAGAGGATGGGGAGCCCAGAGCCAGAGCCCAAAGCAAGCCCACTCCCTGGCAACCTGTCCTCACCCTACTCTGCCCTGCAGGATGACTCTGGAGGGCCTCTGCCTTGCCAAATGGACAGGGCCTTGCTGCAGGCTGGGGAGGTCAGCTGGGGTGAGGGTTGCGGCTGCCCGGACCAGCCTGGGTCTTCCCTGTTGTGTAAACTGGATCCACCACGTCTCAGAGTTAGGGGGCTCACCTGACTCCCTCCCTGGCCCTGGTGCAGCTCTCACCCTGTCTGAACTGGCTGCACCTCCAGTTCAGTCAGAGCAGCCCTGCCTCCTCTCCCCCTGGGGAAACTGAGGCTGAAGGTGCAATTACCTTCCAAAGTCCTGCGCAGGAGGATCTGACAATTCTGCTTCTTCCCATCCACGCTTTCCCACCCCTGCAGGGGCCATGGCAACCCTCAGAGGTCCCCGAGTAGCCCCCGTGGTAGTCAGACCCCGGCTCTGGACCCGACCTGGAGGGACAGCTGGGCACTGGCCGCGCACCTGCGCAAGTCCCTCCCCCGCTCCCACGCCCGCGGGTCTCCGCAGTGGCCGGCGCGCCCTCTGGTGGACATGTGGTGCAACTGCAGCACCCCGGATGGAGATCTGTGGTTGACATTAATGCGTGCACAGAAAACCCGAGGGTCCCACGGACGCGGGGGTGGGTGAACTTAGCTGGACTGCGAGACACAAAGTGAGCCCGCAAAACACCGTATTTCTAAATAGCCTTCACCGATAAGTTCATCTGGAAGCCAATACCGTTTGCTACAGAATAAAAAAAAAAAACAAAACACTGGTCATAAGACAACGCATTGTCTTCCTTTTGCTGTTATTTTAAACTATTATTTTTAGTAAAAATGTCTGCCACATTGACAGGTCTTTCCACTTCTAGATGGAGGTGGCATCTTGTTATTTTCTTTCTGAGGCAGAATGTCCGTCCTCTGGCAGGGATGCTGGCCACACTTTCTCTCAGCCTCTGTGTTGTGTGACAGAATGTCGTCGTGCTCTTCTCCATCTTTTTATTTTTTTTGAAACAGGGTTTCACCATGTAGCACAGGTTGTCCTTGAACTCACGATCCTCCTGCTTCCCCTTCAGAGTGCTGGGATTACAGGCGTGTGCAATGCCTGGATTCTTCTGAAAGATTTTTCCACTGGATGAATAATTCTATGTGGGCATTCTCATCCCTCCCCTCCCCTTCTTTCCTTTTCTTCTTCTTTCCTTCCTCCCTTCTTTCTTTTGTTCCCATTTTATTAATGGTTCTCCATCATCGGCTGTTTGCTAGTTTCTGTTATTTCTCTTTCACTGAATATTCAGCCAGTTACAGTGTGCCCGGGTGTGTTTTTCTTTAGCTTTATTCTATCTGCTGGGATTTATAGATCTGTTGGTTTGTCTTCCTGTCAAAAATAGGAAGTTTTTGCCATCACCCCGCCTCTCCTTTTGACCTTCTGCTTCCCACGTTCCAGGTACCTTGGCCTCTTCAGACTGCAGTCTCCGTCTCAAGGCAAGGTAGGGTCCCCTGGCTCTGCTTGGTCCCTCAACCCTTACCTGTGTCCTGGAGACAGTCATGCTGCACCTTGCTTTCTACACTTCCTGTGTCATTCACGTTTGTGTTGTCACTACCAGGTATTAGTTATTTCAACAATTCTACATTCAATAAAATGTGGCTCCTGTCTGTCCATCCCCTGCAGACAGGAGGAGAGATGATGCCTTCCTGATGAAGGGTGGAGTGCCAGTGAGTGACAGAGTCCCTCTGTGGGAGGATGTCACTTTAGCCTGTCTGCTTTCTCCCTGCTGGGAAGGATGCTTGGGGCTTGTGCAGCAGAAACCATCCTTGCATTTCCAGGCTGTCAAGAAATTTACCAGGGACTCCACCTATTCCAGCCACTGATTGGCCCAACATCAGACAAGGATGGCAATCCAGTCTCTAAAGCCACCAATTGGTCCAGTGTCAGCCAATCACAACAATCCCATCCTCACAGCTGCTCCTTGGTCTACCTCCTAGGCCTGAGCCCATTGGGACATTCCTTGGAGGCCCAGGGCCAGAGCCCCTGAGTCTGTGATGCCTGCAGGCCTGGGCCTCTCTGGTCCTTCTGGCATTGAAGTCCCCTGTCTGTCCCTACTTGACACTCTTGCCACCTGTGGTCATCTCAGAGGGAGGTGTTAGAGAATGAATGGGGAGCAGGATTGCTGAGTGGGACACCCCCTGCCTGCCCTCTGCTGCCCTGGAGGAGACCTGGATGTGCAGGGGGCAGGGTGGGAGCAATGCTCAGACACCTCCTTGGGCAGCAGGAGGGGCCCTGGAGTGGCAGTGAAGGAGTCAAGCAGGGTTGGGGGCACAAGTTCAAGGTGAGGAAGGGGAGCTGGAGACCCCATGACCAGCAGGCCCAGGGACAGCCAGGAGGTAGGGTGGATGGACAGGAAGGACAGTGGTCAGCTCTAGACATGGAGGGGATACAGGGGTGACTTGGGGGAGCAGTGCCCAAGAGGAGGCTGTCACTGGCTTCTTCTGCTATTTCTCTTCAAAGTGCTGCCCCTTTTTAAGCTCAGATTCCCAAGATAAGCGGGTTTCCTCTGGTCAGTGATAAGGTCCAGAGGCAATGCTGTAGGATTTATCTGCAGGCTGGATCTGATGGGGGAGCAGCAGGGCCCCTTCCTGTCCAGAACACTTGATGCTCGTTTCTCTTCTGAGAAGGGCGCGGGTGGAGGGGGGGTCTCCTACAATCCCTCCACTAGTGAGGCAAACTTGAACCTGTGAACTTGGAAGACTTCGGACGAAGCAGCATTACCATCCTTTGAGGGTGTCCCAAAGACACGGGTTCATGCCCTGTGTTCCTCCCAGCTAAATTTTTTTGGGGGGGCAGCACATAGTCCTTGGGTGCCACCAAGCCTGAGCCCTTCTTGGGGAAATCCTCCACAGTGGGGCAGGAGCCTGGTCCTGATGGCTGGAAGCTGGTGTCATTCCAGTGCTGGAGACATGCCAGCTGGGAAAGGCACCTTCAAATGTCCAGTGCTCAGCCCATGGCAGGGCCCACTTGGGAGTCCGAACGTATGGCTCCTGAGAAGACCTGGAGGCTCTGGAAACAGACTGGACGCCCTGTTGGGAGGGGTCCACGATCTGTCTTCCATTGCCTGGAACATCAGGACAATATACCAGCGAGGTGCTTGTCCTCTGTTGGGTTGTGCACCCGAACCTCGTGGGCCCCAGATGGGCATCTGGATGGTGGGGGCAGATGTCACATGAGGGCCCTGGATCTGAGTCATCCACTTCCTCTATGCATGGATTGGAGGGTGGTGGCCCCTCCTCTGATCCCATCCTGGTCTGGAAGGATAAATGAGGAAGGGAGAGCAGGCTGGGTAGAGAGGAGCAGGCATGGCCACGGTAAGTCCCCCTTAGTCAGAAACTGAACATCTGTGTGTCACTCTGGAGCAGAGTGGCCAAGCCTCGGACCTAGAGACCTTAAGACCGACTCCTAGTCTGGATCCTGTGGGTCCCCAGCTCCCATTCTGCAGCCCAACTCTGCTGAGCCCGGTCCCCCCTCTCCTCCAGCCAGGCTCACACTGCTCCCTCCTTGCTCCTTTCAGATGCTGAAACTGCTGGCGCTGACATTGCTCCTCTTGTCCAGCCGGGTCCACATGGCCCCTGGTGAGTCCTGCCTCAGGTCTTCCCCACAGCCCACAGGCCAGAGGCTCAGCGTAGCCCAGGGAGGGCCCCTCTGGTTCAGGAAAGAGCTGAGCCAGGGTGGGGCTGTACCTTGGTTCTGAAGCTGTTCCCTGCCCAGCCCAGCCCCAGTCCTGGAACGAGTGGGCATCGTGGGAGGACAGGAGGCCCCTGAGAACAAGTGGCCTTGGCAGGTGAGCCTGAGAGCCAACATCACCTACTGGATGCACCGCTGCGGGGGCTCCCTGATCCACCCGCAGTGGGTGCTGACTGCTGCACACTGCGTGGGACCGTGAGTCTCCAGGAACCGGGCAGGGTGAGGGGAGGGGCTGGGCCCCCTCCAAGGTGCTCGGGAGGCTGCAGTGTTTGGGCCCCTCCCGAGCAGGCCTCTCCCCCACAGGTACATCATAAAGCCCGAGATATTCCGGGTGCAGCTACGCCAGCAGCACCTCTATTACCGTGACCACCTGGTGCCTATCAGCCGGGTCATCCCCCACCCTGATTTCTACACCGTCCAGGCAGGGTCGGACATCGCCCTGCTGGAGCTGCAGGACCCCGTGAAGATCTCCAGCCATGTGCGCCCTGTCTCTCTGCCCCCTGCCTCGGAGACCTTCCCCCAGGGAACGCCATGCTGGGTGACAGGCTGGGGCAACGTGGACAATGATGGTTTGTGGCAGGGCCAGCTGAGGGTTCAACAGGAGGGGATCAGGGCACAACATATCCCCTGCCTTTGCAAGACAAAGACCCTAAGGGCCGGCTCAGGGATGGACGGTGGGCTCCCTCCTGAGGCCGTCCTCCTCTCTCACCCCAGAGTCTCTCCCACCACCATTTCCCCTGAAGCAAGTGAAGGTCCCCATTGTGGAAAACCACCTCTGTGACTTGAAGTACCACAGTGGCCTCTATACGGGTGACAACATCTCCATTGTCCGTGACGACATGCTGTGTGCTGGAAATAGTCGGAAGGACTCCTGCCAGGTGGGCCCATGTCTCCCTGTAACCTCATCCACCAGGGTGTCTCCACGGAGCACTGACCCTTGCTCTCCCCAGGGTGACTCTGGAGGGCCTCTGGTCTGCAAGGTGAAGGGCACCTGGCTGCAGGCAGGCGTGGTCAGCTGGGGCGAGGGCTGCGCAGAGCCCAACCGGCCTGGCGTCTACACCCGTGTCACCCACTACTTGGACTGGATCCACCGCTATGTCCCCCAGGACTCCTAAAGTGGGTCAGAGTCGCCACCTGGGTCAGGGGAGATCGGGTCCCCTCCTTCCCCCCTGCAATGCACTCCCTCCCCTTCCTGAGATCCTCTCCCTTGTCCCACCCAAGCCCCTGGCCCCTCCTGGCCCCTCTGACCCTCCCTGCTCAGGCAGCTGGCTTTGGGCACTCATCCTGCACACTCTCATTAAAGTGCATGAAAACCAGCCGTGGGCATCGCTGTGTTTATGGTCGTGGGCGTCCCTAGGGGAGAATGGGATCCCGGGCAGGGCTGGGGTGCAGCTGCTGGAGCTGTGGGGTCCCCAGCCCCTGAGGGGTGGGGTGTTGCTATGGGTGGGGCCTCTTCACCAGCCCCTTGTCCCCAGGGCGGCCTTCTCTGCTCACACTCATTTCTTTTTTGTGAGTGGTGTCATGCCCTCCAGACACATAGCACAACAGGGCACCTTCAAAGACGGATGTAGAGGACAGCCAGGCACCTCCAACCGGGTCAAGAAATAGAGCATCGTCAGCTCAACCCGTCTCCCTCACACACGCCTCATCCCCATTGTCCCCGCTGGTGTGGCAGGAGACCTTCCCTGTGATTAATTTGGTGGGTCTGTGACTGATCTGCCTGGAGCAATCCCTGCAGGCCGCCTGTTCACTGGACACCGCGTCCGTGACGGCCTCACCCTGCTGTGTGGAGCCAAGGTCACCTCTTCCCCCTGCTGTGCAGAGTCCCATGTGGTGTCCATGTCAGGGCTGCTGTCGGTGGACTTTGGGGTGTTCCCATTCAGAGCTCTCAGGACTGGGGCAGTCGTGACCATTCCAGTGTACACTGCAGCTGGCTGGTGAGGACAGTGGCTGTGGTGTCAGAGTGTCTGTTCCCCATTTGTAAGAATGTCATGTTTTTACCCCTGACTCTGGCAATGCTGTCCTGAGTCTGTTCATTGTCCTTTCCGGCCATTCTGAACTTGTGGGCAGCATTTCATGAAGTTTGCGTTCTCACTTTTATGGTTACTGTCAAGGTCAGTCCATCTTGGATAGACCCTCACCCTTGGTGGGGACGGGAGGTCAGTTGTCCCCAAGCAATGCTGGGTGGAGTCTTGAAGGTCACACATTCAACCTCACACATGTCTCCTTTGGGACCCCTGGTCATGTCCCTTGTGTGGTTCCTATCAATACTTAAGGTAATCTCTCAGTTGGTCAGGCTGTTTCACATTTCAGATGGTTCTCATGTCAGGGATCCAGAAGTCTGGTGGCTCCTCCTGGCTTGTGGCCACCATGCTGATTCTCCCAGACACCCTGACCCTCTGTAGGCATGCAGCTTATCGAGTGCAGATCTGTGATGGGAAGGTAAAACCTTCCTATTATAAGCTGCTTGCACTTGCAAGCTCGCAGTCAAAGCAGGTCCCTAGGTGTGTGGGCCTAGAAATTTTGTTTGTTTCATTTTTGTTCTTGGTGGGACTGGGGTTCGAACTGAGGGCTTTGCTTGCAAAGCGGGCACTCTAGTGCTTGAGCCACACCCTAGTCCATTTTGTTCTAGATATTTTGGAGAAGGGGTCTTTGTCACTATTTGCCTGGGCTCACCTTGAACCGCGATCCTCCCTTTCTCAGCCTCCCAAGTAGCTGGGATTACAGGCGTAAGCCACTGGCACCCAGTCCTAGGAAGTTTGTATTCCCTTTGCCTTTCTGTCCTCTGCCTGCTGTGCAGCGCTGGCTTCAGCTTTTCTCATTCGTTCCGAGGGATCTGAATAGATATGCCACCCTTTGATGGTGCTGGGTTCCTCTAGGTCCTGTGTGCATTAACATTTGAACATGATTATGCTTTTGTACACAAAATATGGAGCTAAACAGAGCCTTCTTTGGGTTGTGTCCTGGGGCTTTTAGGCAGGAAGGAACTTTTTTTTTTTTTTTCCCGGTACTGGGGTTTGAACTCAGGACCTACCTCAAGCCACTCCACCAGCCCTATTTTGTGTTGGTTTTTTTTTTGAGATAGGTTCTTGTGAACTATTAGCCTGGACTGGCTTCAAACCTTGATCCTCCTGATCTCTGCCTCCTGAGTAGCTAGGATTCCAGGCTTGAGCCACTGGCTCCTGGCTAATATTTATTTGTAATGACAATCATATCAGCCCATCATAAAGACAAAAAATAGGTAAACCTAGAAATCTGTCCTTCCTTTTGCCCTCTCTAGGGGGAGCCCACCCATTCTCTTGGGGTCACTGTGGAAGATAGGTGACCTCTAGTGAGCACCAAAACCCCAATAAGTACATTCAGATGTCCTTCAGTGGAGGCCGTGCAACACAGGAGACAAGGGATCCAAGATCCACAGGAGAAGCGGTACAGCCCTGGGCAGGGGGTCAGGAAGGAAAAGTGGACAGGTGGGGCCAAGGAGAGAGGCAGGGTGACCCAGAGCCTGGGTCTTTTATCTGGCTCCAGATCCCTGAGCTCAGCCCAGCTCAGGCCAGTGGCAGTTGACAGATAAAAGTAACTGTTGGCTCTATCTTGGCTTCCCACTGCAGGGGCAGGCACAGCCAGGAGGCTGTGAGAGACGGGGTGCCACTCGTCTGTCCTAGCAAGAGTTCTTCTTCAGGGCATGGTGCTCAGGTGGTTAGGTCATTGAGGACAGATGCAACCCAAGCCCTCCTAGGGTTTGAGCTACAGAAGACACTCCCTGGTGTGGGCATTGCCAGGGCCAGGGAGCCCCCTCCCTGTGCTCTTCTGTCCAGTGAGGACAGAATAGGGCTGCCCCGGGGTGACACGGCTGGTTTGGAGTTTCTTTCTGGACAGCAGACCTGAAATCCAAGCAAGTCAAGAGCTCTGTAGGGAGCTGGGTGATGGGTGAAAGTGGGGGGGATGGGGTCCCCAGTACTCAAAGCAAATCATGGGACAGGCGAGGGATCTTAAGTCCCCTCCTATGGGAACTTGGAGTGACCCTGGGAGTCAGGACTCACCAGATCTTGTTCTGTCAAGACTTATGAAGACCCTCCACCCCCTCCTGCGTTCAGGTAGGGACAGCCTGGGGATACCTGCGCTCCCCTGGCTTCCCCACCGTGCTGGGCTAATGGAGCAGGTTCCACTGTCCTCCAGCAGCACCCTCCCAGGTGGACAGCCATCCAAAGGAGGAGGGACCCTGCCCATCACCCAGGGTGGGGTGCTGTCTCCTTATCTATCATCAGGTCAGACAGTTGGCATGAAGTGTTGAGCCTCAGCTACGGGACAGGTGCAAGTGTGAAGAAGACCTCGTCCATGTGGATGGTACCGCCTCAGTCTCCCCACACCGAGGAAGGGATGCCTGAGCTAGGTCTCTGTGGGACCCTCCAGCCCTGGCCTGTGATTTGGAACTGGTTGAGTTCCAGGCTCTGCTCAGGGCCCTGCTCAGTCAAACAGGAAGTTTGCCCATCTGATGTGTGGAGGAGACCATGAGCTTCAAGGATGGGTGAGGATAGGGGCTTCCAGGAGGCAGGTTATCACAGGGGCCTGAGCTGACTGGGCCTCAGGCTGAGCTTCCTGGAGAACCCTGAAGGCTGGGCTCCCAGAGGAGGTGTGGGAGGAGGGCACCCCATGGGAGCCAGGGAGGGCTTCCCAGAGGGGGTGTACAGAATCTACCTCTCCCTCGGGGAGAAAAGGCTCTGGTTTGCAGTAAGGTCACCTATTCTCTCCTATCCTGCTATGGTCTGACTGTGTCTCTGAGCTAGTCACTTGCTGTCTGGCCTGTGGCCTCCATGTGGGGAAAAATGGAGGTAGCCCCTTCCTGCATACAGAGTAGACAGACAGGACCTATCAGTGGAATTCTGGCTTCCTCCTCCCCCCTGGCCTGACAGCAGGTGTGAGGCATGCCCCACCACAGGCCAGGTCAACAGGTCCAGGACTCAAGGTGGACGGCCCTTCTGTCCCTGCTGTGGGCAGATGCCATGGCCCTTGGTCCCTGTGGCCTCCTGCCGCTCCTGGCTGTACCTGGCTGGGGTAAGGTAGCTGTTGCTTGGGGAGCATATGCATCCTACCCTGGGGTGGGGTGGGCTCCTTGCCTCTCTGGGCCTCCCCTATATTCACCATATTCCCCCAACTATGGAGCTGGTCCCCATCTGGGAGCTGGAAGCCCTACAGAAATTGGGCTGCCCCTTGGCTGGGTGTCCTGGTGGTCTGTGCTGGGGACGGAGGCTTGGGTGAGGGTGGAGGGTACTGGCAGCTCTAGACCCTGGACTCAGGTGAGACCCTCCTCCAGGGAACCTGAAGGGCCAGGGAGCCAAGGTCAAGGCAGTGCCCAGAGCCTCCCAGCTGCCATTTACGGCTTGTGGCTGGTCCCACCTTGGCCTGGGCTTGGAGTGACAGTTGGCTGACCCCATCCATGGGCTGGATCCTGCTTTCGGCTGCTCAGGATGGAGGATCTATCCCAGGGTCACCTTGGGGCCTGGTGGGCATGGTTCAGGCCTTTGTGGCTGGAAGTGCTTCCTTGGGTCCTCCTTTATCCTTCAGTCTCTATCCCTCAGGTGTCTCTCATGAGGTTCTGCAGCCAGGGATGTCCCCAACAGGTATGTGTGGGAGAAGTTGGAAAGGAGGCCTGGCAGGAGGACCCCAGAGATGATAGTGTGGGCATCCTAGGGGTCATCCGGAGGCCTAGGGAGGTCATGTACTTGTCACAGTTGTGTCCCCTCTGGCTGAGGGGGCACAGCTGGCCTACCCTGCAAGACTGTGCCTCTCCCTGCCTGGTGTTAATTTCTATTTTTCGGGAACTACTTTGAGGCCTTGCAAACCTGCTGAGCCTGGAGGTCCTCTCCTTCCCGTGCTGATGGCTTCTGTCAGTCAATCACAGTTGCTGCAATCAGCTGATGCTCAGGGGTGCAGGGACTCCCCTCATCTTTTCTATTCTGTCAGTGTGGACTCAATTTCCCATTTTACTCATTTGTATGGATTTTAATCTCTTAGCCCTATTAAAGGTCAAGTTGACCCAAATCTGGCTGGCGGAGTCCCTTCAAGCTGGTCTCTGCATCTTCATTTTTTGAAAAAATCAAAACGTGGAGGTGAAATCTACATGATAAAACTTAGCCATGATCAAGGGTACTGTTCAGTGGTGCTGTGCACATCCTAGTGTTTCGTGTTCTGTGACACTGCCTCTATCTAGTTCCAAACTTTTTTTGTTTGGTCGTACTGGTGTTTGAACTCAGGGTCTCACACTTGCTAGGCAGGCACCCACTTTGCCACCCCTTTCTTGGTTGGGTATTTTTCAAGACAGAGTCTCATCAAGTATTTGGTTGGTATTGGCTTTGCACCACGATCCTCCTGATCTCTACCTCCTGAGTAGCTAGGATTTACAGGCGTGAGCCATCAGCATCCAGCTAATTCTAAACATTTCGTGATCCCAAAAGGAAGCTTCGTCCCCACCAACCAGTTACTGCGCCCCACCCAGAGCTCCTTCTTAGCACCCACACCTGAGTCCCTTCCCAGCACCTCTCCATTCCTGGGCAGTGAGCTGCCTGCCTGTTTGGCCTGGCCGTCTCTCAAGAAGCCACACCGTGCTTCTGGGAAGGGTGCCGTCCGTGGCAACTGAAGATATGAGTGGGAAGTCCCTAAGAGAGTGGGGAAGGGGTGCCAGGGAAGACTTCCTGGAGGAAGGGCAGTGGTCACAAAGCTGGCCTCCGTGAATCCCAATGATAGCCCCTCCTAAACCCCAGGTTTTAGATGCAGGATTCTGAGTTGTAGGGGCCATCCTGCCCCAGCTGGGGTGTGGCTATGGCAGGCCAGCCTCAGCCTGCAGAAAGTGCACATATGCGCGAGTCCCTGCTTAGCCCTGACCGGCTAAGACTGGCTGCTCACTGCTTCTCCAGGTGAGTGTCTGGGGCAAGCAGTGGCCTGAATACCCAGGCCTGTGGGGCAGTGCTGGACCTTTGGTTACCTCTCAACCCTGGGAATGCTTGAAGCCTCAGTTTCCCCTTCAGTAAAAAGGGGGGACTATTTGCCCCCGAGGTGGCAGTGTGCAGTCCCAGTGAGGATGGGGCCCCTGCCAAATCATGGCTGTTGAACCCAAAGGCAGCAACATAGCCAGTACTGATCTTGGAAGTTTCCTGAGCACAGCCAGTGTGAGGCTGTTTGTGCCTCTGCACACCTCGCGTAGCTGAAAGCTGCCTCCTGATCAACCTCTCTGGGTCTTCGGAGTGTTACTGGCCTCCAGCAATGCTGGACACCTCCTAGTCAGCAGCAGTAGGTGCTCAAGGTGCCACCACAGTCCTGGGGTCTCTGAGGCTGGGGCCAGGCTTGGCTTCCCATGCACAGAGCAGCTACTTCTGTATCTGAAGCCAAGGAGGGATGAGTTGGGCATCAGGTCCTGACAGGGTAGGGTTTGAATATTCTGGATGCTGTCTTCCTGCCTGTGCAGCTGGTCACTCTCAGAGTGGTGAAGTTCCATCCTCTCCTTCCCCAGACCCCTGAATTCATCTGGCTACCAGGACCACCTGGGAGAGCTAACTATCACTGCATCCTCCCATTTCTCTACTGTGAGGCAGGTTTCCCTGTACTCCAGCCTCCGAGGGCCACTGGGGTCCCATGGGGACACTGCTCTGGTACAACTGACTGCTCCTGTGACCCTCTCCAGCTGGGTTCTGTCTGTCTGCCTCATAGAGGCCTCAGCTGACTTCTGTCCTGGAACTCGACGCTGGGTGGCTGGCTGGGAATTCACATGGGAGGGAAGTGAGGGGCTCTTTCCCAAAGCCTTTCCCCATGGGAACAGAGGAACACAAGGGCCACCTAACACAGCCTGGGACCCATGACCCTCTGATGACACTATTATCCTCGGTGACTGACACTCTAAGAGCCATTCACATGTTGGTCCATACCTGACCCACGACCAGTGTTACCAGTAACTAGGCCCCTATGGTGGGGGATCTGGACCTGCATAAAGGACAGGCCCTTTCCCTACTCTGGCCAATGCGGGGCTGGTGTCCTGACCACTGAACCTGCCTCTTCCCCCAGAGCCTCAGCAGCCCCCATACAACCTGCAGGAGACAGAAGTCTCCATTGTGGACACGGAGACCTGAAACCAGGCCTACCCAAGCACAGACGGCAGCATCACCCAGCCAGACATGCTGTGTGCCCAGGGCCCTAGGGATGCCTGCCAGGTGAGCCTGCAGGGTATAGTAGAGCATGGGGGAGCCTAGAACCCAGCAAGGAACCTCCTGACTCCTTGGCATCCCATCCTTACCCTAGCCTGCCCTGCAGGATGACTCTGGAGGGCCTGTGGTTTGCCAGATGGGACAGGGCCTGGTTGCAGACTGGTGTGGTCAACTGGGATGAGGGCTGTGGTTGCCCTAACTGCCTGGAGTCTACACTTGCAACCCTGCCTATGTACACTGGATTGGCCACCACATCCCAGAATCAGGAGGCTTAGGAAATCCGGGGCTCCCCTGGCTTGCTGTCCAGGCTGGCCCTTTTCTACCCAGCCTCCTCCTGCTGTTGGGCTCCTGCAGAGAGCTTGGCTTGGCTCCCACTCTTGCCTGAGCTTGGACCTCTTCTCTGATGCGGTAACCAAACATGTTTCTGAAATAAGTTAGTATTTATTCTGCTTAGCCCCCTCCCTTTCCTTCCCCTAGACTTAAGAAGCCACAGTTTTCTGCATGAGATTATTGCAACATTTAACCTGGATTTATAAAACCAAACAAAGGGGCATCAACTGAGAACGGTGGGAGGCCCACTGGAGGTGGGGGCTAGGTGTCTTATTGCAAGGGTCAGAACTCCATGGTGATGTGGCCCTTCCCAGAGTCACTGGGAAGCTTCTGGGATACCCAAGCAGATAGAATGAGGGAAGTGATGTGGGGGGACAAGGCTGGAGGTGACAGAGAACTCAGACTGTGCGCAAAGGTGAGTTGGCCACTGTGGCCTCGGGACTGAGCACTTGCCCATGAGGGCACAAGAGGCCCAGATGTGTGCTCCCTGTAACGACAGCAGGCTGTGTGGATGGGGCTGCAATGCCTCCTCTCTGAGGAGTTTCTGGTCCTTTTCAAGATGCAGCTGCTCTAATCCTGGGGTTGCTGACCTGGCCCTGGCACGACTTTAGACGGTGGCAGCAAAATTCAGGAAAACCCAAACCTGAATCAGCACGATGGAAGCTCAAGGGACAGAAGAGCTGTTCCTGTGTCGTGGTGCAGAGAACAGCGTCTGCCCACATCTTTCTGGGCTGGTATCCTCCCTGGGCCCTTTTGCTCTCCATGGGGCCTGGGCCGAGAACCACTTATGGCCCCACCCAGGGCCACCATCCTGCAGGGCACCACCAACCCCAGTGCCAAAGCCCTGTGCACACTGAGCCCTAGTTACACGGGCTCCTCTGTGTTGTCATCCGGGTCAGGGGTGGCTGAGGGGGGCCGTTTCTCCAGGGGGGCCTGGGGAACTGTGAGGAACAGTCCCCGCCCCTTCTCTGGGGGGTCACCAGAGGGCACAGGAGTCTCTGTTTCACGGGGTTCCAGAAGCACTGTGGCCCCTGAGGAAGCTCTGGGTTCTGGGGTCACACTGTGGCCACCGTCCAAGAAAGGGTCTCCACTAGGGCCCCCCACGTCCAGTGGCTCAAAGGCAAAGTTAGGCACAGTCAGGTGCTCTGCCCTGCAGGAGGCCTGTCCCCACCGCTCCCCCTTGACTGCAGGGTCCCCTCCTGGGCCTGGGCCCTCTGCAGGGTCCAGGCAGTCCCTGTGGGGGGCTGTCTCACAGGATGGGGTTCTGCGCCTCAAGGTGGTGCTTCCGCCCTCTGCTGCAGGGGGCCGGGCAGAGCCCTCATCCTCTGTGGGAGGGTCCACGGAGATACAAGGGGGGCTCATCTTCTTCTTTCTGCGTGCCCCCAGAGCTGGTTCTAGCTCCAGGACCCGGGCTCTCACCTCCCCAGGCTCCTGGTGGCTGTCCCCGCCACCCAGCTCCACAGAGGGCCACCTTTGTGTGTCTGCCCGGCTTGACTTGTCCAGAAAGCCCTGGGAGTCCACGCTACAGAACCTGTGCAGGTCCCGCCCACTGCCTGTCGCCCCTCGGGCTGCAGGGGAGGCCACAGGGGAGGCTCCTGGGCTGTGGGACCCAGCTGCAGGCCAGGGATGGGCGGAGCTGGTGATGTGGCTGACCTCCTCATCGGTGGGGTCTGAGGCTTCAGCCTCATCTCCACTAAGGGTTGGTGGCCGACTGGAGACACAGCGCTGTCCAAAAGTATGCTTGCGGGTGCGGACACTGGCAGGCCGTGGGGAGCGAGGTGGGGACCGCAGGGAGGCCCCCAGGGACGCCTGCCTTGTTGGAGTCTTCTCAGCAGGCTCCACAGGATATGGAGCACTGTCCCCAGTGCCATCAACCTGCCCTTCCAGGGACTCAGTATGCATAGCCTCCTGTAAGGGCAATGGAATCAAGGTGAAGATGAGCTCCCCTTCCAGCAGCCAGGGGCCCATCAGAGTCCTAGGGAGGCCAGGGTGAATAGGTCTCTTGGGGGTAGTAGCTCCTTGTCCTCCAGACCCAGATGACATAGCTGGGAGCTGCTGGTATGACTTCTCAGCCCCTGGCCTCCCCCGCCGACCTGTGAGGCCCCAGCAGATAAGTCTACACCTGCCACACTTTGACACCTGGAGGGGAGGTCTGAGCTCCTGTGGGCAGAGCCTGCTGAGGGCCCCGGGAAATCTGGAGAAGCATGGCATAGGCCACCTCCCTTTAAGCCCCATAGCTCAGCCTGGCACCCCAAGGTTGGGGTGCTCCTGACAGCTCCTGTGGGGTGCAGGGTTCTTATACTGGGAGGCAGGAGCTGGGGAGGACAGGCAGAAGCTATGGGCCAAGGCTGGTGATCTGGACGTGGTGCAGATCCAGAAGCCAGCATGCTAGCCACTGTGGGGGCCCAAGGCTGCTGGCTGAGAAGGGGAGTCAGGTGTCTGTAACCAGCTCTGCTGTCACAGGCTGGCCTCTTGATGGGCTTCCCTGAACCACCTGGGCTTGATGTCCTGAGACCTCCCAAAGTGGTAGACAGAAAACTCTGAGCCCCAAGAACACAGTGCCTGCCCTCCTGTGCCTTGGTCTCATTCTTCCTCCAAATAGGGAGAGAAATCCCACGGAGCCCTCTGAGGTCTGTGGGACAAAGGCTTTCCCTACCTGTCTGCAGAGCAGCCGACTGAGGCTGGGGGAGTGGGGTGCATCCTGGGGGCACAGGGTGTGCAGACGGCCGCTGCTCCTGGCTGGGGAGGATGCTGCCGATGGGACTTGGAGGGACGCACGGGGCTCCAGGGGCGGTGAGGGAGCAGAGGTGATCGGGCCTGGGGCAGGAACACATCTGAACCTTGTGGCTCACTAGCCTGGCCCCAGGCCACCCTCCCACCCTTTTCCACCCTCCCTCCCACTCTGTCCACTCTCCTACCCGATCCCATCCGCCCTCCTGCCAGGTCTTGCTCTCTCGCTGCCCCTGCCAGCGTCTGTACCTGAGGGGGCATGGCCCGAGTAAATTTCCATCTCCACCTCCTGCAGTGGGTGAGGGTGAGCGGCTGCGGCGGGTGCCACAGGCCGGAACATGTAGCTGTCATTGGGCAGTGAGAGCATCCTGGACACAGACACTTTGCGTACAACCAGGAGGTTCGGGGTATCTGGCCCAGCACCTGGGCTCTCCTGGGGAAAGAAAGAGACAAACTCATGCCGATTTGGTGGCACCCCCAAAATTACCGCCCCCAGACTCTTCGCTGGCCCGACCTGCACAGCGGGCGGAGGCTGGGCTGGGGGCCCCTGCGCCATAGCCAGCTCGATCTCGGCGTCCATCTCTGCGTCCTCACGGGCCTCCTTGTTGTTCTCCTCCAGGTGCTTCATGAGCACAGCCACTACCACGTTGACCAGCACGAACTGTGCCACCAGCACGAAGGTCACAAAGTAGACAGGCGAGAGTGCCGGCAGGTAGCTGAGGCAGTGCTTGTCTTCACGCGTGCACTCACGCAGTGTGTCCTGGGGCGGGCAGTAGGGTCACAACTCTGGCCTCCCTCCCTCTGTGCCTAGGCCCCAGGGCAGTCCTGCTGTTACCTTCATGATCCCGTTCCAGTTGTCCCCGGTGGACACGCGGAACAGTGTGAGGAAGGCCATGCCGAAATTGGTGAAGGTGGCATGCCTGCTCAGGCCCTCACAGGGGTTGTCCTCGCTGCACTCTAGGAGGAAAAAAATCCCACTAGTCGGTCATGCCCTGGCATCCACTAAGGCTGCCCAGTGGCCCGAGAGGCAAAGGTATCACGGGCCATGGGTGGGCATGAAGCCAGCAGGCCACATCTAGGCGTGAGGCTGGCTGTGGGGCATGGCCTGGAGCCCGGAGCCAAGCTCTCTGCGGTTGCCCTAGCTTCCATCCCAACCTCCTGAGCCCCAGACCTGGCCTCTTGGCTCACAGTCTGAGAAATAGGGCTTTCCTGGGGACTGAGATTCTCTGGCATCTGGGCCTGGCCCAGCAGTTATCAGGCCTGGCTGTTGGGGGAGGTTTTAGGGTCCTGGGATCCTCTGTGATCACACACGTGTGGTGCCCAAGTGGGAGGCTATACCTGGAACCCAGCTCTCTAGGCGGGCAGATACCAGGCTATAACAACTACATGGCCATCTTCCAGACAGGGCCCACCAGACCCTGGAAAGACCCTGGCAACAACTGGGCTGACTGTCAAGGATCTCTACCTGGCCCAGCTCAGACTAGGCCAGGGTCTTGGGACTAGGTAGATATCTGAGTGGCAATCTAAAAAGACACGCTGCTGGCATTTGTCTCGTAGAGATCATGTGGGGTTTAGGTTGAGGCGTGTGTTTGTGTGTGCACATTTTCAAGTGCACACCACCAAGCTGCCTAGCTTGGGTGTGGAGATGTGTGTGCAAGCCTGTCTGTATGTCACACCTGTGTGGACATGTCTGTGTGCGTAGTTACTCGTGCAAGTACCTTCTGTAAGCCCTGGCCTCACAAAGTGAAGGCTGATGGGGGCAGGGCTGGATGAGGACACTCTGGGAGGCCCATGGTCTGGGTTGGGGCCAGTTCCCTGTCATGTCCACAGCCCATCAGCCTGTTGTGTGAGGACTGATATGGCGTGGCGGTGGGGGCAGGGATTCCTGGGCTGGCATCTGTCTGGGGATTGGTGCCACTTAGCAGGGAGGTGGCAGGGCCACACTCACCTAGCCTCCCGAACAGCTCCACTCCCAGGGCAGCATAGATAAAAAACAGGAGCATGAAAAGAAGGCCAAGGTTCCCTACCTACACAAGAGAGAAGCAGAACAAGATCAGCCCACGGCACTCGACTCTGCAGCCCTCAGCACAGGCCCAGGTAGACCCACAACTGCCACTCTGGGCCTAGGCAAGGTGGGGCAGGGTCCATTTTAAACCCATGTTCCTCCTGGCTCTGCAGCCTCCTGGGGCCACCAGGAGCTCTGTGTTCAGGGCCCCACCTAAGCCAGCCTGAACTGGCCTTTCTCACCCAGCTTCTGCCCCTTCCAGGTCCTCCCATGCACCCTACTCTAAGCCAGTGGTCCTGCTTCCAAGGCCTACAGGCTCTCCTTGGGGGCTCTGGCCTACCCACCATGGCTGCACAGTCCCCATGGTGGGGACCCTGGGCTGGCGCTCAATGGACAGGTGTGCCACCAATGGGCCTCGCCAAGGCCTCCCCTGTGAATCTGCTGGGCCCCCAGCACCCACACACTGCCCAGCACCTGCTCCAGACCCTGGGGCATTGCTGCTGGGATACAGCCAGGCCTAGGCCTCCCACCACCCCAGCTGACAGAAAGCTGAACACAGGGTGGAACACCAAGCAACACTCAAGAGCATCACTCGGGGCTCAAAATGCTGCTGAAAGCAGGGTGTCGGGCCAGCTGAGGTGGTGAGCAGTGGGTTAGTGGGCTGGGCACGAGTGGACAGGTACATGATGGGGAGGTGGTTAGAAAGAGGAAGGTGTGGGGGGTGGGTGGATCAGTGAGTAGTTGGGAAGGGGACTGGTGGACAGAAGGGGCTGGGCTGGTGAACTGACAGCTAGAGGAGGGCAGGGCAGCAGGCTGGACTGTGGTGGGTGGGCACAAAGGGGCTCAGTGCTGTGCAGATGGGGCTGCGTGTGACATGTATCTTGCAGCATGAGATCCAGAAAGGATAAGGCAGGGTGGAGAACATAGGAAGTAGGGGTCAATTTCAAGGCCCCCACCTGCATCCAAGCCGTGGGTCTCTGCTCATAGGCAAGCCCACTTCAGTTTCCTGTGATCTCTGTCCCACCCCTCCTTGCCCCAGCTTTCTTGCCTCCAAAGTGCACCAGCTGTGGCAGGCACTGACCACTGCTGTTGCCTAGAGCCAAGGCCAAGATGGGTGACTGTGTCTGCCTCTTCCGGCTCAGCTGAGCTGTACACATGGGGCACCACCTTGGCCACATGACCAGGTGAGGGAGGGAGGAAGGGATGTGAGCCAGGCTCACAATGGAAGGCTCACGATGTCCACCCTCAGATGGTACCGAGCCCCGACCTACCTGGGGAAGAGCTTGAACCACAGTGTCGAGCAGGGCACGCATACCCGTGGCCATCTTCAACAGCTTCAGCACTAGAGCCAGGAATCGAGCATCAGTGGGGCCAGGCTGACCCTTGACTGTCCAAGGACCCTGGACCCCACCTGGAGACCAGGAACCCCCTCCTGCTATAGACACAAGCTAAGGACGAGCCTGTCTGAATGGCCTGCTGGGCCTAGAATTCCAAAGCCACCAGCAAATCGTGGGGGAGGTGGACCCTTGGGATGAGGTGGGGCGCACGGGACCGCCCGCCGCTGGGGGACCGCCCACCGCATGGAACCACCTTCTACCGCAGGGGGACCGCCCGCCGCGGGGCACTGCCCACCGCGGGGGGACTGACCACTGCACGGGACCGCCCACCGCACGGGACCCGCCTTCTACCGCCGGGGCACCGCCCACCGCCCACCGCACGGGACCACCCACCGCGGGGCACCGCCTACCGCGGGCGATACGCAGCACACGCATGATACGAATGATGGTGGGGTTGATGGGCAGGGCGGCGTTCATCTCAATCTCCTCCAGCGCGATACCCATGATGGACAGCAGGACGATGGCCAGGTCCAGCTGATTCCACCTGGCCGGCAGGGGTGCAGTTCAGTGCAGCTGCCACCTCAAGGCTCCACCAGAGCCCACCCAGCAGAGGGAACAAGTCTCCCTGCTACTTGTGGCACATCCCGGAGTCACCGCAGGGTCCACCTGCCCCATGCCAAGAAGCCCCAGGATCCCCCCTGCCAGGGACCACTAGGCCACCTGCTCCACACACCTGTCCTTGAAGAATCTCCGAAACCCAAAGGCCACCAGCTTCAGCGCAGCCTCGAAGACGAAGACGATGGTGAATACATAGTTGCAATATTTGAGGGCCTCGTCCAGAGACTGGGGACAGAAGGCAGACTGGCTGAGGGGCCCAGGGACTCTGGGATGCCCCCTTCCTCCTCTCCCCCCACTACACAGAGGGCCTCTTGCAGCCACATGGCTGTGGCACAGACTGGCTCAGCAGTCTTCTGATGATTGCCTGTCTCCAGCACAGCACACAGCTGGAGATTACAAAGATGCCTCCCAGGGTCCACGGGCCACTCCATGCCCACCCACCCGAGGGCCAATTGCATGTGGCCTCCAGCAGGCATGGGGCTGTCGTCTGATGACCCAGTAGCCTCAAGAAGAGAGGAACCAGGTTCCTGCCCTGTCCCCAGGTCCCCAGTGTCAGAAGAGGTGACATTTCCCCAAGACTAAGCTTATTCCCATTAAAAGCCTCTGTTATTCTGTAGTCCAATGCTCCCTGGGGTGGGAGTGGGGGGAGTGGTGGAGACAAAGTCCCTTTAATGTGAAGACGGAGGGGATGGGAAGGGACAAGGGCCAGCTCCTCACTGTGGACACAGCCGGCATTTTTGCACTGTGACTCTCATGCTGGGGAGCCTCTCCCAGGGTTGGACTCTGAGTTTTAATCCATTTCAAAGGCTTTGTTGGAACAGTGGGGAGGCTCGGCCGGGTTTCCCCATGCTGGTGCTGATTAGCCCCACCCCGAGGCCAGCCCTCTGCCTGACTGGCTGTGGGACCACCTTGGGCTGGTTGTAGTGCTCCATGGACATGGTGATGACATTGAGGCCGATGATGAAGGTGATGAAGAGGTCCAGGTAGTGGCTAGTGCACAGTGAGTGGATGGAGCGGCGTGTGTGCGAGTAGTCGGCATAGTAGGGCCGGCGCTGGGCCTCTGCGGGAAGAGGGGGTACAGGTGAGCAGCCTGGATGGCTGGGGGGCTGCCTGCACCCTCCCATGGCGCCTGGAGGTCCCTTCTTCCTCCTGGGAGGCTGAGTGTTTATGGGTGGTTAGGCAGGGCCGTGGCTGTCCTGGACTCTATGGGGGTTGCCCAAGGCTGTGGGAGGGGAATTTTTGTGGGAAGGGGCCTGTTCTAGCCTGTGAGTCCATGAGCTGAACTGTGCCCAGGGGCCTGAGGTCAGGTTGACCTCCTGGACTGTGGGGTCCAGCTGCCATGGGTTCCTGGAGCTCAAAGCCAGGCAGGAGTGTTTAGACTTTGTGACCACTTTGTGCTGTATCAAGGTTCAGACACCTTGCTGATGAAGGGCTGGGCTGGATGACCCCTCTTTCATCTCCCAGTCTGGGTCCTCTGGGCCCCAGACAGGCAGAGACGAAGGCCCCCACATCCTCCAAGGGACCGCTGGTGACTGCCTGTGGCCTGGCCCATCTGAGGTTGGTGTCCTCATAGGGGAGACGGGAGCCTACCTGGGGTGCCCTCCCTCCTGCATGCATCCACCCCTGCAGGTTTGATCCCACTAAACGCTCTGCCTGCAGTATTCCCCTCCAGGTGTTAAGGTGTCCCACAGGGGAGGGTGTGGTCTACCCTGCACCTGGGACTGCCTTGGTCAGAGAATCACACACTGGGGGCAGGAGGAGGGCTGAAGATCTGGGCCCAGCGATAGCAGATGCTGACGGGCAAACACCCCCACCCCAGATCCACATGCGCCTCAGCCTAGCATGCGGTCACTAGAGAATTCAGGTCAACTTGGGCAGCGAAAGAGGCCAGCAGTCAGGGCAGAAGATACAGCGCAGCCACAAGGCGTGGGGAGCGAGTGGCGGCCTTGTCCACTAAAGCACAGCAGGAAAGCGTGCACACGTGCCGGCGTGAGGAGAGACAGGCAGGGCGGCAACAGGGACACCAGCAGTGAGCCACAGCCCGTCCTCCCACTCACTGGTCCCTGCCACCGTGGCAGACTCCAGCAGGCCTGTGACACCCACCCTTCCCACTATGGCAGCAGAAGCGGGCTGGGCATGCAAGGCGGGGCAGGTACCTGGGCTGGGGAAAGTGCCTGGAAAGACAAGGAGACGTCTGAGTGGCCGCACGGGGACACCCAGGGCCTGTGTGGGCAGTCCTCCCTGCTCCCAAGCCGCAGCCTGCTATCCTGCAGGGTCTGGGGGGGTCCCATCTGCTTCCTGGACCCTTTGGGGAGACCCTGCCTCCGGCCATGGTGGGCACCATGGCTGCCCGCTCCTGCCAGCCCCTCCGCTGGGGCCCCCATGCAAGGTGCAGAGCCACTGGGCTTGGGCTGCAGGCCAAGGGAGCCTGGCGCCACACAGCGTGCACACAGGTACGGACCCGCCACCGCCATCGGGGCCGCCTTACTCCTGCGCCTTCGTTCCAGGCGCCGCAGCTGCTTCTCCTCCCGCCGCCGCGCCTCCTCGGCCTCCTGGTGCTGCCGGCACTTGTGGAAGTTCTCCACCACCACGCCCACGAACATGTTGAGCACAAAGAAGCTGACGATGAGCAGGAAGGAGATGAAGTACAGCAGCATCCAGGGGTTGTGGTTCTGCACGGGCTGCGGCAAGGAGGCCGTGGGTCCCCCAGTCGTTCACCTGCCCGACTGCCTGTCCGTCCCGGGTACCATCCCTGGGGTTAGGAAGTGACCTCACGACAGACCTCACTGCAAGTTCTGGTGGAAGGTCCCTGAGAAGACCGTAGTCTCGACCCCAGTGACATATGGGATTTGCTTCAGGTCACCCACGGCAGCCGTCCCAACCCCACGCACCTGCTGGTCAATGCCCACAGCGTCTAGTCCATCATACATGATGTTCACCCAGCCATCCTTGGACGACAGCACAAACAGGGACATCAGTGCCTGCAGGACAGGGGATTAGGACGGGGGGGGGGTCACCGACAGGGCAGTGTGGCTGTGGCCACACGAGTCCCTGGGGTCCACCCCACGTGCCCACCTGGCCCAGGTTGTCGAAGTTGTACTTGCGCCGCACCCAGCGGTAGTGGGCCGCCCGGCACTCGGCCTTTGTGGAGATGTTCCTGGTATCGGTGCCCTCGCAGTAGTAGAACTTGCCTTTGAAGAGCTGGCCAGGCAGGGCCGTCACCCTGGATGGCCTGGGGTGCAGACCCACCCCACACAGCCTGCTAACCACCCACCAGTTGGGCAGGCCTTGTTCTGAGGCCCAGTGGGAAGGGAGAGGGGCTGACCCTGGATAAGCAGCAACCACACACCTGCACCCCCAGGATGCCGAAGATGATGAAGAAGGCACAGCAAATGAGGACAATGTTCCCAATGGGCCTGAGCGACGATATCAGAGTCTCCACCACCAGCTTGAGGCCTGGAGCCCGGCTGATGACCCTGGACCCAGGCAGAGGGAGTGTGCATTAAGCCAAGCGTGCATCTTCAAGGTGAACCGAACAGGGGGCCTGAGAGTCTGTATAGGTGGGCAGAGGCAGGGCTGGGCTTCCGGGTCTTTTCTGGATACCTGCAGGGGACCACCACACCCACCTCAGAGGCCGCAAAGTCCGCAGCAGGCGCAGCACACGCAGAATGCCGAGGATTTTGGCACCGCCCGCCGAGGCCATGGCCACGATGATGTCAACCAGGGACACCAGGACGAGCAGCCCGTCCAGCACGTTCCAGCTGCTCTGCAGGTAGGCATGCTCACCCCACAGCAGGCCCAGAGCTACCACCTGGGGTGGAGTATGCACAGGCTTGGTGGGTGCTCTGGGGATGGGGACGGGGGTGGGATAGGGACCCATGGGGAGAAGGGCCCATCAGTACCTTTACCATCATCTCGGCCACGAAGATGGCAGTGAAGATGTAGTTGGAGATGCTAAGGAAGGCTCGCTCCTGCAGGGAGAGGCCACCTGGTGGGAGGGCTGCATCTGCCCTGCCTGGCCCCGGCCCCACCCTGAACACCACTGACGGGGACTCACGGTGCTACCCGGGTCGATGTCTGGCCTCTCCAGGGCAATAGTGATGCAGTTGAGGAAGATGAAGACGAGGACCACGTGGTCAAACATCTTGTGAGCAATGACCTTCTGGCAGGAGACACGCAGCCTGGGGAGGCAGCCAGGTGAGTGTGGGGCTTGGGTGGTGTCCCAGGCACTCACTGCCCGTGGTTGGGCAAGGCCGGGCCCATTCTGCCCTTCCTGGTGTGTGCAGCCTCGGGGGACAGGGTTAGAGCTGCCTCACCTGTTCTGTGGTGAGAAGAGGTACAGGGCCCAGGACTCGCGGCTGCGGCACCACTGGGGGGTATACGGCTCCAGCACCTTGTGCAGACGGAAGCAGCAGCTCTGGAGACAGGGGAGGTGGTCTTAGCTCCTGTGGCCTCCGGTGGCAAGGACACCCTCACCCTCTTGCCTCTTCCTTATGCTATTCCCTGCCACCTTGGCCTCACCTTTCCCACCTGACCAATGAGAAAGTGGCCATGTTGGGAGTCCACAAGGCTGGGCAAATGGATGTTCCAGCCCTGCCCCAGGGAATTTCCCTTAACCAATGGGAGCAGCCCAGCCTGGTGGATGCCTCTCTTCCTCTCCCATCAAGAAGCTCCTGGGGAGGATGGGATGGTGGCCTATGCCTATATCCCAGCTACTCAGGAGGTGGAAATCAAGATGATTGCTGTTCGAGGCCAGCCCAGGCAAAAAGTTAAGAGACCCCCATCTGAACAAACAAAGTTGGATGCAGAAGTGCACATTTGACACTAGCTATACAGGAGGCAAAGGTAGGATGGCTGCATGGCCCAGGACAGCCTGTGCAAAAAACATGAGATCCTATCTGAAAAATAACTACACCAGGCACTGGGCTCACACCTGTAATCCCAGCTATGTGGAAGGCTGTGATCAGAAGGATCCAGGCAGCCTAGGCAAAAACATTTGAGAGACCCCCATCTTAACAGAAAAAACCTGGGTATGAAGGCATGTGCCTGTCATCTCAGCTATGGTGGCAAGCATAAATAGGTAGTGCAGGCCTGCCTGGAGCAAAAGGTGTTGCAGGAATAGCTCAAGGCATAGAATGCCTGCTTAGCATGCAGAAGCCCTGAGTTCAAGTCTCAGTATTGCCAAGAAAAAAAGTGTTCCTGGTCAGAGGCTGACCACAAAGGTAGGGGAGCCCAGCCCCCAACAGCAGGTAGATACAACTCTGGAACTGGCTGGGAATGGGTTTCTGTCCTGGCCACCTGGCTCTCTTCTCTTCTCCTGACTCACTGAATTCCTGCCTCAGGCTCTGTGTTGGGGAACCGGTCCAAGACAGGAGGGGTGAGGGGGGCTGTGCATCTGTCTCACACCATTCCACTCACATCCTCCATGTCATCATCAAACTCGGCCGCATCCTCCTTGTGGCTGTCGATGCGCAGGAAGAACTCGCTGGGCAGGGCCACCATCTGGCCGTTGCAGTCGTGGAACTTGGCGGGCAGGAGGGCAGCAGGCCGTGGGGGCCGTGGCTCCAGCGTGCTGCGGTGGCCCAGGGACTCGGCACGCCTCAGGGGGGTGGTGCGGGGCACAGGTGAGGCCCCTGGACGGGCCCCTGCACCCAGCCTGCCATCCTCAGCCTCGTCATCTGTGCTGCCCTTGCCCTCACCGGACAGCAGTGACTCACGCTCCCCACTCTGGCTGTGACGCTTCAGGCTGGGTGCACGGCCCAGGCTGTTCCAGCTGGAGCGCCGGCTGCTCCAGGTGCTGCTGGGGCCCCAGGGGGCGCAGGGTGAGCTGCTGCGGAGGCTGGCCTGGGGAGCAGGGGACATGAGCAAGCGGGTGCGGGCCCCACAAACCCGTTTCCTGGTCAGAGGGGCTTTCCCCAGGACATTGCTGGTACTTCTGGAGTGCTGTGTTCCTGGCTGTGTGTGGCCAACACACCTAGAAAGAACCCTACTGGGGACACTAACTACATGGTATGCTTTCAGGCCAACACTTGACTCTGCTGGGGATGCAGCCAAGGCAGGGTCCAGGGCAAAGGCCCAGCTGCTGTCTTAAGGACTAACATCAGCCCTAGACCCAGCGTCTCTTCCTTGGCTCTGTGCTGCTCATACCATCTTCACATACGGGGCCTAGCAGGAGCTGAGACTTACTCTCCATTCGGTCCCTATCCACTTTCATGGGACCCCTGACGCTTGTCTGTGCTGTGGTGTGCTTGGCGGCTTGGCACCAGAAGCTCCCTGTGAATGCAATCTTCAAATGCTTCTCCCGCCTCTCCCTGCCTGCAGGTCTGCCTCGGCCTCCCCTCCTGGGTCCAGCTCCCTGCCTCTGCCCTTCTCAGGGTTCAGAAGCCAGATGTGGTCATGCCCACATCTGGGCAGCATTTTCAGCCGTTTGTTTCAGGACCTCCCTCCAACACACACCCCATGAGATGAGAGGCTCTGGTTGTGAATGGAACTGAACTGTCAGATTCACCAAGATGCATGGAAACCAGGTCTGACTTTTGTTCCGTAGGCCCTCTGAGTTACCATTTCTGCTGGCCCTTTGCTGATCTTCCCTGGGATGTGCTCTGTGCCCAGTTAACTTGCCTTTTACTGCATTTTGGAAGATAAACTTCCCGCTGTACGCTCTGCAGGTCTCGTGCCTGTTCTCATGAGAGCGGCCACCCCAGCTTCCACGTACAGAATACAGCCCTGACTCTCAGTGTCGGCGTGTTACAGGGTCCCTCCCTCACCCTAGGGGCAGGGGACAGTCCCTACCAGAGACTTCTGGTCCCCTAACTGGGGGTCCACGGAACCGCTGCTGCTGCGTCTTGAGTCCAGGAGGCCATGGACCGCGTCCAGGTGTGGGGAGCTCTTGGGGGTGGGCATGGGTGTGGCTGCTGTGCGCATGATGACAGGTGGGGGCAGGCTGCCTCGGCCCTCCAGGTGTCCATTGGGGGTCACTGCCAGCGAGTACATCTTCATCTCTGGGGGAGGTGAGCCCCATCAGCCTCCAGGAGCCCCAGGGAGTGGGGACATTTCTATCAGGCCCTCTGCCCTACCCCTGTTGTCCACACGCACACCTGTGGCTCGCAGGTCTCTAAACTTGTCGAAATCCTCCTCGAAGTGGGTGGACGTCTTGTCCTCGTCTGTGTCGGACCTGTTGGCGTCACCCTGCACCCACACAGCACAAGACGGGCGTGAGGCTCCCGTGATGGGAGGGCCACCAGTTTGGGATGATTAGGGCAGGTGCTGGCACAAGGAGGGGCCCAGTGCCTGCAGGTTTGTCCAGGCAGAAGCCCACCTACCTTCCCAAGTCCTTACCTCTGCCTGGAAGCCCTCAACCAGGATGGCCACCAGCAGGTTAAAGAGCACATAGTTGCCGAAGGTCATCAGTGCCACAAAGTAGAGGGCGGCCCAGGAAGAAGTAGAGGCCATGCCATTGTAGAGAACCACATTCCAGTCCTCCTGAGTCAGAATCTGGGGGTGGGCAGCACATCCCCAGGGCTGAAGGAGGCTCTGGCCCCACAACAACCCACCCATCTCCTTGCGGGATCAGGCTTGCCATCCCCATGGTCCCCAGATCCTTTAGCACTGGCAATCTCTGTTCTCGGAGACCCCCCTCTCCCCGTCGCCACTGACGATACCTGGAACACAGTGACGATAGCCCACAGCAGGGAGTCAAAGTTCTTCCTGTCAGGGACTGTGTCCCCTGTGTCTGTCTTCAGGCTGAACTTGCACCCGAAGAGATGCATACCCAGGATGCTGAGAGGGGCAGGCACTGAGCGGGGAGAGGGGCCGGCGCTTCCCCCTACCCCGGGTTTCCTACGGGAAGGACTGCCCCTGGGGCTGAGCTGCTTGTTCTGCTGGTGAGGAGGCCCAAACTCGAGAAGGGAAGGACAGCTAGAGTCGACTCTGGTTCTAGGCAGCAGCTAGGATCTGGGAGGCCTGTTTTGGCCATGCTTATCCACAGGCAGCAGCCTGCTTGGGTTGCCCACCCTCCTAGCCCCCTCTCTCGGCCTGGGCTGGCACACAGCAGGTGCTCAGTAAACCCCACCAGGAGCCCCCACCCCACATCTGTGAGCCCCACCAGAGCAGAGCCCACCATGTACCCTATTAGTGCTGCCAGAGATGGCGGAGCAGTGTCCGAGTCCGCAGAACTGAGGGCCAGCAGCGTGGGGCTTGCCCCTGCTCTGTGCCCCAGGCCTCCACCTCCCAGCCGCTCTGGGTCACAGTCCATCGCCCCACGCTGTCCGCCCAACCGCTCACCTGAAGATGAAGATGAAGAGCATAAGCAGCATGCAGAAAGTGGCCACATTGTCCATGGTCTTCATGAGCACCACGAGCTGCCGACGCAGGGCTGGCAGGAAGCGCACCAGCTTCAGCACCCGCAGCAGCCGGAAGGTGCGCAGCACCGACAGTCCGCCATCTGCCTGACCCACGATCTCCCAGACGCTGTGGGCGGGGGGGTGGGGCAGAGGTGAGGGTCAGAGTGACTGGTCCCCTGACCCTGGGCACTCCTCTTCCTGGAGGCAGGATAGCCAGCCCAGGATCCACAGTGGCCTCTGCTCAACCCATTTAGTGAGGAGTGGGTCTGACTGCATACAGGTGCCTGAGGAGCTGCGGCAGTATCGGCCTCATAAGCCATCATCAGTCCAGGAACCCCTGGCTTTGGCTGGGTCAGAGTTTGTTAAACAAAGGTTTTCTCTTGTCCCAGCCTTTCGCACTCACACCCAAGCCTTCTCTGCCAGGTGTGAGACCCTCTGCTTCCCCTGGGGAGAGTCAGGGACCACTCTCAAGTTCTTCTATCATCTGGGATTTGGTTGCAGTAACTGTCCCAGAGGACACTATGCTCTGCCCCTAAGCTGGCCTTCCCCTCAGGGCTGAGCCACCAGGCTAAGAGACCCAAGCCCCACCCTGTTCATGCTGGGGATGGCTCCTCCAGGTTCAAGAAACAACCACAGAGACGCAGTTGACCTGTGCCACGGCAGGGACAAGGTTCCAGGGAGGTGCTCTGCTTAGCTGGCCTTTTAGGCAGCTGACCAGTGTCCCAATGGCCCCTTGTCCTAGCCACTGCTAGGACTTTGCTTTGCTTTGCGTGGAGGGAACACACCTGATGACCACGATGATGCCGTCGAAGATGTTGTAGGGGTTCCGGATGTAGCCCAGAGGGCCGCAGGCCAGAAGCTTCAGCAGCATCTCCAGGGCAAACACGCTGGTGAAGACAATGTTGCTGATCTCCAGGGCGTTGGTCAGCTCGTCGGGCTGCAGGTGGGGAGGGGGCAGTCAGGGGGTGCCCCCGCTCACGGCTCCCACCCCTCTAGGCATTGATCTGCAAGCAGGGTTGGTCATACCAAGAGCTCATGGGATGGAGGGGCTACCCAGCATCTCAGAAGCTCAACTAGCTGCTGCCAGAGGAGGAAGCCAGGCCTCCAGAGTCCCCTCTAGGCGCATGCTTGGTCCACCTGTCCCTCTCACTCTGACTGCCCCTGGCTCCCCAGGACCCCACGGATGTCCTCTCTCGGTGCACACTTGGCTCCCCTGTTCCTCCCACTCCCCTAGACCACAGCTCCCCTAGACCTTGCCTGACCTTCTTACCTTTACACCTGAGCATGGGGGCTGCCAGAGACATCCATAACCCCACCCCAGGCCCTGCTAGTGCAGGTCACAAGGAACAGGACTGGGGCACTGTACAGGGGCCCAGGCTGGGTCTTGGGGAGGTGCAACAGGCCTACTTACCCTTCCCCTCTCAGAGGCCCAAAAGGCCTCTCAATACTGATGTGTCCACCTTCCAGAGAGTGCTTACATGTGAGTGCTGCATGTGTTCATACGTGCGCGTGTACAAGTGTGACCAGCCATGTGATTGTGTGCACGCATACATGTTCACTCCTACGTGTGTGTGCATGTGGTAGGTTTGGGAGTCTGTATGTGCTCCGGCACAAGTGTGTACACATACATGAATGTGAGTGCTACACGCTCAACGTGTGCATGCCTGTCTACACCTGTCCACACGTGCAGTGGTGAGCCTTGCACACGTACGGGTGCAGCGTGCACAAGTATGTGCCTGTGTGCAGGGGCTCTTCCAGATGGGGTGACTCTGCTCTGCCCCTCACCAGAGAGCTGCCCTGCCTGGGGCCTGCCTGAGGCTGACAGTGGTTGGATTTCCTCTAAATTACTCTAGGATGAAAGAAAACAGCAGCTAGAAAAGCCCAGAGGGTAGGAGGAAAGAAAATAATTCCCAGTATTAAAAAGATTTAAGCCAGAGCATGGTGACACATGCCTGCACTCCCAGAGACTCAGGAGGCACAGATCAGGGGGACTGCAGTACAAAGCTAGCCTGGGAAAAAAGACCCCATCTAAACCAACAAGCCAGGCATGGTGGTATGTGCCTGTCAGCCCAGCTACATGAGAGGCACAGGCATTGGTAGGAGGATCTCAGTGTAGACCAGACCCAGGTAAATACCAAGACCCTACCTGAAAAATAACTAAAGCAAAAAAAAAGGCTGGGGGTGTAGCTCAGTTGTAGAGCACATCCCTATCAAGTTCGAGGCACTGAGTTCAAACCCCAGTACCACCAAAGATACATATATATATATATATATATATATATATATATATATATGTATTTTTTTTTTTAAAGAGGATTTAGCCTCAGGAGCCTTCTTGGTTCCCCAGGAGAGGGTGACCAAGCTGGACCACAGTTGTCCTTCCTCTGGTGGGGCCAATTCCAGGGGCAGAGGAGTGTCAGCTGGGTGCAGCGCCTGTAGCATTCAGGCAAATGAGAGGTGCCAACCACCCCCATTCCTCCTCCTGGGTCCAAGTCAGACCACTGGCCTCTTACAGCCTACAGTAAGAGGCTACCCCAGTAGCCATGGCCAGGAGTTTCAGACATTTGAGGGGTCTCTGTCTCCAGACAGGTCCTGAAAAGAGCTGACTCCACGGGCCAAAGTAGCTGGGTGACTGTCATTGGGCCCACTGCCCCGGGTGTCTTCATCCTTGAGGGTCTCTGGTGGCCTCATGGCCCCCACCCCAGACAGAGGGAACCACTGGGCTGCAGTCATGATGTTGGTGGTTATTACTCAGCACAGCTCAAGGAACCATGGTGTTTGTTGAGTGAATGAAAAAAAAAAACACCCCATAATCAATAGCCCTCCCCGCTCAGCTCTGATGCCAACCCCCACAGGCCCTGGGGGGTTGCAGCTAGAATCTCAAGGAAGACACGGGCCCACTGCCTGTCAGTGAGCACATCCTAGCAACCTTGCCCTGCTCCACCCTCACTGCATGAGATGGACACCCAGGCCAGTGCCCACCTGCTCGTGGTACTCCACACCCATGCTCAGGGTGTTGAAAAGAATGGCCACCATGATGCCACGGTTAAAGTACTTGCTGTCTACGATACGGTGCAGTTTGCTGCTGAAGGAGGCCCAGAGGCGGCCCAGCCCACTCGGCTCGCCCGAGGCCACCCGTCGCTGCGGCCGCCGCTGTGTGCCACCCTGGCCTGGCGTGTCTGCCGCTGGGGGTGGCTGCATGGGGTCTCGGCAGTCACCGTGTCGTACATCCCGTGTGAACTCGTAGACGCCGTGGGTATCCGAGTCTCCGCTCTCTGACCCGCTGAACTCAAACTCGGGGTCCTCCAGGGCGCTGGCGCAGTACGGGCAGCTCTTCAGCTCACAGGTCAGTGTGCCTGCCTGGGGGCTGGGCAGGGGGCAGGGCACACTCAGGCCTGACAGGTGGCTGGGGGCCTGACCTAGTCCTGTGGAGGAAGGGTACAGAATGGGATCAGGCACTACATCCAGGGCACTCTCTCTCTCTCTCTCTCTCTCTCTCTCTCTCTCTCTCTCTCTCACACACACACACACACACACACACAGACACACAAGGGTGTGTGTGCCATATTCCCAGGTGACATTGATTAAAGTGAGGTCACCCTGGCCAAGGAGGTCCTAACCTCAGAAGAAGAGAAAACAGACCCACAGGGAGAGTCCTGCAGAGACTGCAGAGGGGAGTGATGTAGCCCAGGACCACCAGGAGCCAGGGTGACCCTTGCTAGATTCCCCAAAAAAATCAACCCTGTGGCCTTGACTTTGGACTCTGCCTCCAGACAGAACAAATTTCTATTGTCCTGAGCTGCTCAGTCTGTATTTTATAAAACAGCTAGGATGCTAGGACAGATGCATCCACAGCACACACCCGTGTATGTGTGAGCACACTCACAATACCTGTGCACTCGCACACATACCTGGGCACACACACACACACACACACACACACAGAGCTGGGCACATATACATGTATATCCGGCCACATTCATTTGTACTCCTAGACACAGTCACATACCTGTGCACACACATCTAAGCACACACGCTCTCACACCTGGGCCCACGCACGTTCCACTCATCCCTCACAGTGGCAGTCTTGTCACACACTGGGGTGGGGACACACTTGAAGAAACAGAAGTTGTCTGCCCTGGGGTTGCAGCGTCCATGGAAATCCAGCACAGGCCATGCTCCAGCAGTCACAGTACACAGTGAGATTGGTTCTCTCTAACCCCACATCTGAGCTGTTTTCACACCAACGCAGAACTGACAACACTTTCCCATGCCGTCCCATGTGCTCTGGAGCCCTGTGCATTTTACACTCACAGCTGAGGCTCTGTGGCCACTCAGATGGCAGTGCAGGCTACAGGGCCATGTGCCCAGGACACCTCACTTGCATATGCCTGGGGCCTGGTGCAGGAGAGCACAGGAGGACCTGGTACATCCCTGCCATATTGGCACACATCCCTGCCCACCATCTCACAGGACCTGGTGAGTCTCTAAGTCAACAACACCCAACCTCCTGGAAGGTCCCAGTGTCCTCCCATAAGCTGTCCATCCAGGAGGGCTGAAGCCTGGAGGAGACCTCTCCCAACCTTGGAGCCTCTGTCTGGACTTCCCCTCCTGCATGGCCCAGAATCAGTTTCCCCAATCTAGAAAGGGCAGCTGCTGTGGCTGCAAAGGGCTGCAAGTCCTCCAGGGAGATGGCCAGGCCATGGTCATAGACATACAGCCCCTCTTGGGAACAAGCAGGGCCCCCTGCACCTCTTCCATGGGGCGGGGTCATGTCCTCACCGTGCTCTCCGACCACATGCTGGATCTTCTCATAGGGGTTAGGACCACCTAGGCTCAGGGGGCTATGACCTGTGGCTCCGGGGACTCCAGCTCCCCGCTTCCCTTTGGGCCCAGGAATGGTGCCACCTTTGTTGCTGCCCGTCCCCGAGGGCAGGATGGTGGGGTAGTTCATAGAGCCCAGCCCTGAGGCCAGCTTGAGGCTGGCGGCCGCAGTGGCTGCAGCTTGTGCCACACGGGCTCTCTCCTGTGGCCCCTCCACGTGGCAGTCAGCGTGGTAAATACTGTGCACGGACTCAGAGTCAGGCGGCCCCCGGCCCGGAGACGGAGGTGAGGGTGGCGCACAAGCCCGGACCAGCCTGGTGTCACTGACACCCGGCTCGGGGCTGGGCCTGCGTGGACTGCCGTGGCTGAAGTGGTAGTGGTGGTGGTGATGGTGGTGGTGGTGGTAGACCAGGTGGTGTACGGAGGCCCCGCGCCTGCCTGCATGGCGCTGCCGTCGCCCGGGGCCCTGGCCGTGCAGGGCACTGCTGGGGTCCACCTTCTTGCGCCAGCGGCTCTGCCAGCGGGCGTACAGACGCAGGCTACGACGTTTAACCTTACGGAAGATGTGACCCACATACTTGAGCAGTTCCTCATAGCAGCTGCCCGGCTCTGAGAAGCTGGCCAGCGTGCTGTCGTTAGACAAGTAACGTGCGCGCTGCTCACGCATCAGCTGGTTCTCCCGCTGCTTCGTCTCTGAGAACTGCGTGGCGATCACCACCAGGCACAGGTTGATCATGAAGAAGGAGCCGACCTGCAGCAAAACAGGCAGGACTGCCAGACTGAGTCCACGCCAAGCCCTGGCTGTGCCTCCTGGTGGTGGGGCGGGGCGGGGGACTGGATGTGGTTATGACACCATGGGTGGGGAGCCATATGGCAGGTGAGCCGTGCATGTCTGTGGGACAACGGGGACCTGGAACCTCTCTCAGGGTTACCCATGTGTCCCTGACATGACTACACATGGCAATCACACTCCCCTTCCATGGGACTGTCCCTAGCCTCTGTGGCCAGTTAGCACGGAGCACCATCAAGTCTCCTTTGCACGTCCATCCTGTCTGCTGCCTGAGAACATGGCAGGATGTGTACTTTCCCTGCTGGATCCCCATTGGGGCTCCATACACCCAGAGCACCACAGATGCCTGCTGGTGGACAAACTGACAACTATCTGCCTAGACACCTTGTCCTTGTCACAGACAGGACAAGGAAAGCCACAGATACTGTGGAGGGCTGGGCTGAGGGGCCACACACCGTGGAGGGCTGGGACTGATTCCTGTGGCCTCCATGCTGTACCTGGGGTCAGGAGTGCTGCATAGGCTTCTTGAATGGGCTCCCCCCCCAACTGTCTGTCCATCCCAGTACCCCCCATTCCTGGTAGTCCTGTGTCTCTGAGGCCTCTACTCCACAGAGTACAGGGGCACAGGCCATTCCACCCCTCCCTGAATGCCCACACTGCACTCACGATGATCAGCAGGATGAAGTAGATGAAGTTGTAGAATGAGTGGGCATCCATTACGTAGTACATGATGTCCACCCAGCCCTCCAGCGTGATCACCTGTGGAAGACGGTGACTGGACACCGGCCTGCATCCCCCCACTCCCTCTGGGACAGCAGTGAGCACCTCCCTTTCCAGCACGGACACCTCTTTCAGGGGTCCCCGTCTCATACACTTGGTCCCCACTGCAGACTGGCATACTGCAGCCACAGGTCATGGGCCCCAGAAGCCCACCTGGAAGATGGCAATCCAGGCATAGCCGATGTTGTCAAAGCTGATGGCTCCATTGTGGGGGTTGGAGTCCCCTGAGCGGCACACATTGTAGTACTGGTTCCAGTTGATGCAGGCATTGCGGGCTGTGCTCACACCCTCGGCCTGGGGCTGCCCGTACGCCTCCCACCCCAGCGTGCACGGCACACGCAGCTCGCGGCGGCCAGGGATATGCGAGCACTTCTGCATCCCATTGTCCCGGCGGGAGGAGCAGATAAACGGGTTCTCCTCGCCCTCCTCCGTCTGGTAGTACGGCCGCAGAAAGGTCAGGTTGTTGTTCCTGGATCACAGTCGGCCAAGCCACGGTCAGGGACTCTGGGGCCACACACATCCTTCCTTCACCCACCCAGTCATGCTTGCCCAGGTCTTGCCAAGCCTCAGTTCCACCTGCCACCTTGCCCCTCAGAAAGTAACCACTCTGTGACCACCCCCCCCAACTCCCTCACCTGGGCACTGGCCTGGTGGGACAGGTGATAAAAGGAGATGACGTGTTAAGAACCCGTGGGGTGTGTGCAAAACACACAAAGCAGAGCCCACTGGCCCCTTCATCACTGCCAGGGTTACCTGAGGCCCTGGTGAAGTAGAAAGCCCCACCCAAGGCAGCACCAGGGGCCCCTGGATCTGTCCTGAGGCCCACCCCCTGTCCCTGCCTTCCTCCCTGATTGCTCTCCCCGCTTCCAGTCAAAGGGGTATGACAACATGTGCCACAGTCTCCACCCAGGGACCCAGAGAGCAGGTGACACCTCAGCCCCATGGGCAGTCAGTCTAGGGGCTCACATAGGGCGAATCTTTGGCCCCAGTGGTGGCAGGAGGGCAGGTAGTTAGGTCATCTGCCAGGCCTGGAAGAGGGTGGGCTGCCTCATAGCACCATGGTCACCTTCTAGAGTAGCCCTGGCAGGCCACCCATCTTCTCTGAGGCCATGGGGGAGGGGACACAAGGGAACGACGGGGAGAGGTGCCTCTTTGTGCAGAGGGAAGAGGGAGAACAATGTGTGTGCAGGCGATTCTTTCCCAGACACAGCATCTGATAGGAAGGGCTCTTCTAGAGACGGTCTCCCAGCAGAGGCAAGGGGGCAGTAGCCATCTTGTGGGTGGTCACTGTCCCTCAGGAGGCAGCGGGAGGATGAGCCCTGGCTGCCCCTCCAGGTAGGCTTTCCTGGCTGCAGACCCCACACCAATGGAGTAAGCCACCCTGGGAAGGAGCAGGTGGCCTCCATTCTCCACCCTGTTCCCACTCCTGGGGGCTGTCCTTCCACTATACACAGACTTCAAGATGGCCCTCACCTGCCACGGCCTGTCCCGAGCAGGGCTGGGCTCCCCCAGGATCCTAAGGCACCAGTCTCAGCACAGAAGCACCACAAAGCCCTCATGGTCAGGCCCACTGGCCCTTGGCATAACTGAGATCTTTCAGGAGGCCAGGGCTGAGTGCCCTGTGAGCCTGGGTACTCAGGGGCAAGTCCCTCAGGGTGAGGGAGCCCATCTCCTGCCCTAGCCTCCCCTGAGTGCTCCCCAGTTGCCTCATAGGTCAGGACAGTCCACAGAGACAGACAAGGAAGCACAAGAAGAGACAGTGACAGAAGAAATAGAAAGGAAAACCCAGGCAGAAAAACAGAGGAGGAGACTCAAAGCCAGAACCAGGATTCAAATTCCAGGCAGGGAACATCCCTGGGGGGCATGGCTTGGAGGAGCCCTTTGGGGGTATGGCCTGAAAGGAGACACCTGCAGGGTGCACCTCCTAGGGTGGCCTTAGGGGTGGGGCCCTTTGAGGGCATGGCCTGTTGACTGGCTTATTGACCAAGAGCCTCACGCTGGGGGCATGGCTTGAAGGGAGGAGCCTCACTCACACTGGGCAGAATCTTAAGGAAAGTGTCTGCAGGGAGGGGTCTTAACGGTTATGCCTTCAAGGCATAGCCTGGGCTGGGGGGAGGGAGGCAGGACCTGCATACCTGACAAAGGTGCTGTCCAGGAAGCAGCGGTTCCGTAGAAGGCCAGCCCAGAGCTGGACGCCAACAATTCCAAAGATGAAGAAGACAAAGAAGCAAAGCAGAAGGACATTTCCCAGCATGGGCAGTGTGTCCAGCAGCAGGGTGACCAGGATTCGCATGCCTGTAGGAGGCAGGGCAGGGGTCAACTGAGCCAATCCCTCCTGAAGGGTTCTGCATTAACCCTGCCTGCTGTTCACAGATTCACACCAAGGCCCACTGCATGCTGGTGGAGGACAGGCAAGCCCTCTGGTACAGGGGCCCGGGCCCCATCTTGACCATAGCTTCCCCAGCTGAGGTACTGCAGGTTCCCAGGGATGCCCAAGGATGGCAAGGCATCCATCAGCACCATCAGCAGAGGCAGGCCAGTACCTGGGCTTTCTGGAGAGGTGAAAAGTGGAGAGGGACAGGCAGGGGTCCTGGCCATAGCAGACTGGCCACACAGCATCACTGGGCCCTTTGGGTGATCGGTTGGGAGAAAAGTGACTCTACAACTTCATCTGAGGCTACACCAACTTTGGGGACCCTCAACACCCTGGGCTCCCCTCTGCCTGGGGACATCGCAGAGGGGATGAGGCTTTTTGTTATTCCTGTTAAGAACCACGTGGAAGCAGAGCCCCAGAAATGTGTCTCACAGTGGGTTTGAAGTCCTTGCTCCCGAGAGCAGTGGCCTGTGTAACCTGAATGAATCTAGGAGGTGGGTGGGCAGAGGCCCAAGTGTCCCTCACTCCATCCTGGGCCCCCTTCCAGACTTCAGGAAGGACATAGTTCCATTCCTTAAGATCTACACAAGGCCAGCTAAAGCTGTAGGCATAGCCCTTGGGGAGGACCCACGGTCTCCTAGGACTGCAAGTGGCACTGGCAGAAATGAACCTTGGGTCGTTGGGGGGAGTTCGAGCTGGGAGTGGCACTAATATCTCAAAATGAGGGAGAGGAGACCGAAAGCAACCAGCTCAAAGGCCACATGAACCGGGGTCAGCGTGGACCCACGGCAAACAGTAGGATGCAACCCTGAACATGTCTGACTAATTGAGTTGCACGTGGTAATGTCTGGGGTCACCCAACTTGGGACATTTAACCAGAACAGTAAACACCTGTGGACAGGGACTGAGCTGGGGGACTGCACTGCGAGGGGAGGTGCCGATAAGGTGGAGCTACAGGGCAAGCGATGGAGGGGGGGGTACAAGTGACGAGGCTATGTGGCTGGGTCAGACTGGGAGCACACACTGATGAGCACTGTATATGAAGATCTCAATGTACACGAAAATAAAAGCACACATCACAGAGCATTATATAATGATCCACTTTCTAACATATTCAGTCAACCTCTATCTAGGGCTCAACCTTTCTATTGGTGGGAGGGAAGAGGACAGGTGAAAAATACAACCATCTTGTGATTTCCCTACAGTATGAAAGCCGTAAGAAAAGATACACTCAGGAGGCCATTGAGTTAATATCCATGCGCTAGGGAGCGTCGCACATCACCAACATTTATGAGTGCCAGTCCTAGTCCTCGCACCCTTATTCCCCGATAACGACATATAACAAAAGCAAAGGACAAGTCGAGAGATCCGATGGACACCGTAGGCATTACTTTAGAGGAGGATACGATATATCTAGAGGCCTTGAGCGAGACCAAGTAACCCTCGTACCTCACACCACAGTAGTGAGCGTCTTATATGTGTAGATGCTATGGAAAGTCATAACTCGAGTGGGCATGACACACATCAGGTGAACCACTGAGCGTGGAAATGACCTCTCTGAAGGAGATCGATTGAGCGAGAGATAGAGGGTGCGGAGAGAGAGGTGTTGGCCCTATCACTCGAAACAAAGCGCCCAGCCACCCTGGTCAAGCTAAAAGGCACTTAGGTATTTAACTTAACAGGTGGAGGAGAGTGGTATGTAAGGGGATGTCCAGGGTCTAGGTGGCGGCTGCTCCTCACACCAGTTTGGGCACTCCTGCTTACCTGTACCGACGCCAACGAGAGTGCTCTTGCCACACCACCGTGATGTGGATGCGATCACAACGACAGCTTATACAACACACAATCACACCTGGTAGACCTACAGGCGATGGTGGGTAGGAGATGTTCATAGGTCGACAGTTCTGGCCACCTCCACATGTGGTGCTATCTCTGTAGCTCTAGGATACAAGTGTGGGGCGCGGAGCCCAAAGAGCTAGTGCCTTGTATAGTTCAGGCCCACCTTGTTATTAGAAGAGACCCTGCTCACACACACGCAATACCTGAACCAGTGGCAGGCGATTATAGTCAATGTCTACGCACAACCAATCACCGTCACACCCACTAAGCGAGGAGT